CAAAATGGCCTATATACATCCAAGCTCAAAGGTCAGCCATTTTGAAAATCGCAGCCAAATATCAGTTGCTGTGTTAATTGCAATTATAGAGCACATGGATCATAAATCCATTTTTATAGCGCCTGCAAACCAATTCTTCTGCTTGCCACTGATAAGAGAATCATTGTCTTCCTGTTGTCTACATGAGCGTTTATTTATAGTTATTGGGGACGCTTCAGGGGAGAGGTGGGGGGGGGGGGTTTGCTGGTTGCCAGGAATTTGCAAAATGTGACAAGACCCTCCTCCTTCTCATGCCGAGACCGGCAACAAAAGTCACCCGACTAACCCTCAGACAGATCGTACAAAGCCTCGACGTAACGTGAGAGCCGTTGCCATTCAGGTTTCAGCAAGTCCTCTGACGTACTTCTGTCTCACTCGCCACAGCCAACACTGGAGATATTGCCCGGCCTATCTTACAGTGATCCGTGAAGATACACAACATCCCCCACCCCCACATATAGCATTACGGAGTGATCTACTTTTGTGGTTCCTCATTTCTTTGACACTTGTTTGACTTGCGTCTGTTTGGTGATGCCAGTGCGGCAAAAGAGGTTTCCACTTTGCAGGCTGAGTCATTGCATCAACTCTTAGTATACTGTTGTCTGACTGCCACACCTCAGCCATGGAACAAATCTACCTGAATTCTTGAGTGTGCTTCGCAGAATTTATTATTATTTTTTTTTTTAATCACCAGTTGTAGCTCAAAATCCAATTTCATAGTAAACATCGCGAAGGATTTAACCCTTCCTGTGCTGGAGTGCATTCACTATCTTGTCAAGCGAATGCAATCTAAATATAACTCACAAGTCAAGTGACAGCCAGCTGCTTTTCAAGACCACGGTACATACCTCAGTAAGAACTTGAAGACCGGACAATTGCGTTTGTTGGCCCGCACTGCTGATCCTTTCACCCGCTGATACCTCCATGTTCTCCACCAGAACACCGGTCTCCTGGTTTCTTTGCCCACTAGGCTCTTTTGGGCTCCCAGGGGTTAATTCACTCATCGGTGACTTTACAGCTTCAACTTTTACTTTAGGTTCTTGTGGCATCGAGAGTTTCTTTGACGCAGACTGTTGGTTGACATCCACGCACTTTGGAGGCTCTTTTGGCTTATCAGTCTCCATCGGTACGACTTGGTCCGAGTGAGCTTTGTCCATCTCTGCCCGATGCTTCTTGTATAGTCGATATGATGGCGGGGTTTGTGATGCCGTCGCTTTTGGCTGTATGGACTTGGGAAGGTGGTCATGTTCTTTATCTTTGTGTTCAATGGATTCATGAGAGTCCTTCTTCCCTTTCCCAAAGAGGAAATCTTTGACTGTGTGCAACATGGACGAGATGGATGACTGAATGGTATGATGGTCGTGATCCTTAAGAGACTTTCTGTGATGTTTAGGGTGCTCTGCGAAATGGGACACTTCCTGGAACCTTTCCTTTTCTTTCTCCCTTTCTATCACTAAATATTTTTCTTTTATGGTTTCGTTCTCTTGTGCCGTTTCACGCTTTTCCCTCTCGACTTGTAACTTCTCAAGCCTTCCTTCATTTTCTCCACTTGCATTGTCACTACATACATCCATCCTCTGTGGTTTTTCCAGTTGAGATGAGTTCTCGCTCTCTTCCGCAGTCTGTGACTGCAGAGCCTCCGATAAAAATTGGGCTAAACCCATTCCGCCGTCATAACAGTTTTCACCTCCATTTTCGATCACATGGCCTCTGTTGCTGCTGCTGCTGTTTGTGGTGGTGTTAACGCCGGCATCGACACCATTGGTGATCTTTGGTTTCTTTTTGGCCACGAGTTCCTCAGGGGCCGGCATGTTCTTTTCCAGAGTATTGTCCAAAGGTATTGCGGAGGCTGTTCCTTTGACGTCAAAGCTAACGCCATTGGCTCCCGCAGCGGAGCGCAGTTGCTCCACAACTTCACGCTCATTAGCTGCTTGGACTGGCACCGCTCCTGGAACTGGGCGTTTCCTCGGAGGTGGCTCCGGACTAACATGTGGTTCCTCTGTCTGAATATTGTCCCTGACCCCCTTCTTGTTCTGTTCTTCCAAGTCTTTCCGCTTCTTCTCGGCTTTTTGCTTCAGCTTGGCGAAGAATCTCTGGTGGATCTTGAACTCACTCATGGTGCCCACTTCCAATACCCCCGAGCAGGAGACAATACCTTTGCTATTGCTCGCTGAGACCTGATAGATTGCCGCATCATCCAATGTGCAACTGGAAAGAGAAACACCTATTAAATACAATGAATCAAAACCTGTATTTCCTGTCATTGAAAAATTTGATATTTCATATTTGATGGCTGTGCCTCACATACTTGTAAATTTGGAGGGTGTGTGTTTTCCCATTTTTGTGGATCTCATACTTTGGAAGTCCACAATAACGGTCCATTTCCATATCATCCTTATACCATTTCAGTTCCGGAGCAGGATAACCTATAAGGAATAAGTGAGACTAAGCCTTTCAAAAATTTGTGGATGGATGTACACTGCTACATAAACGCTCCAATTGTACCTTGTACAAATTTAATTTTTGTTGTTCTGCATTATACTTACAGCCACTCTCACATTATAAACATGATGTATTTGACTCACGGTAAAATAACATATAAAGTTTTAAAATAGGACGCACCTGATACGACACAGGTGAACTTGACGTTACAGTTTTCCGACACAGCTTTTGATTTTAAGGTGGTCTCAAAGGATGGTTGTACATCCTCGGTAAGCTGAGCCATGACAGCACACAAGGTACTCCTGCAAGGAAACACAAATTTTAAACAGTGATACGTTTTCACTTGTATAACATTTCAGAGGCCTCCTCACACTGGTGTTGTACATTCCATTTTCTTTGAAGGAAAGTTGTTAATGGGCATTACTGGTAGGGTAAAAGAGTAAAGAGTTCGACACAGAGACTTCTGGGACACCAAGAAAAACAGGAATGGCAAATGCAACGTTAAAACTGATGTTGGTCATTGAAACCGAATGCAAGACTGGACAAAACTGGACACTTACATCAGCTGTTAAGAGGTGTGTAGGTTTCATTCTTGGGGAACACCAGATGGTGTGGTTAAGATGTTAGTTTGGAGGAATGTTTGAAAAGTATGTATTACCTCGTTGGCCTGTAGTGAGAATACCTTGAATAGCTATTTAGAGAGGAGGCAAATGCAGGGTTGTTAATGAATAACTCAGAGTTCGGTAATGAACCCATTTATATGAAGTAGGCTGTCGATGTCTCTCCTCTTCAAAAAAAAACAAAGCACATTGACATTTTTGTTTTTCGGATGGTTTTTGTCTTTATTTTGTGGACATTTTCTTGGAGGGCGTTTGTATAAGCTCTATATGCGGCTGTTTTGTCTTTACCATCATGTACTATGAAATGTCTTTTTAAACAAAATATGCAATGTGTGGATTAAAAATTTGTACCTGTTTTCTGGCCTAACATTTGAGAGGTAATTATTGCGGGTTTCTGTGCGGCCATTTAAAGAGGTGCTGTCCTCTTCACTGAAGCTGCTGGTTCTCCCGTTGGCAGAAAAAGAGCGAGTCATTGGCCTCCTGGAAGTCATTATGCACTGGAGTAATTCACCAAAAATGTGAAATACACTCTTATTTTACCAACCCTTCCCCTAAAATGTAACCAAAAAAAATAAAAAATACAAAATCCTGAGTCACGTCCTGAGGTGGTCAGACTTCTTTGCCTTGGATCGTAGCTGAATTTTATTACTCATAGAAATGCCCCTAAAAAAATCAGAAAAGAAGACAATTAAATTAGTGGAGCACAGCCATATAAATGAATTACATTAATGATTATTCATACACTGCTCAGCACACACTTCAGAGTCCATGCTTGTCCTCTGACAAGGCAAAGTACTTGCATTGGAGGGAGTTATAAATAGTTTGCGCGATCAATTTGTAATCAACCACAAGCACAAAACAACTTCTCATAAAATGTACATACTCTGTTCCTTCTTTCGGGCCCATATACATGCAAAAACATTTTCCAACTTACCATTGAAATGTTGTCTGTGCTTCTTTGGAGTCCGTGCCTGTGAAGAAATCCTCTGGAACTGTCTATCAGAGGGGCGCATGTGCTGCCAGCGAGGCCCTATTTTTAGCGGGCCCACAAATAGGCGTAAGAGCACATCAGATTTTCCAAAACTACACTTCAGATTTAACAATGACGTTTTAGGTCATCAACAGGTAACAATTATTATTTGAAGATACTGTGTTATCTAAATGAGTTGTGAAAGAGTGTCTGGTCTGATGCAGACACTGTTGCAAGACTGCATGTGAACATTCAAAACATGTTCGTTGGATAAAAGGCTTATGGATGGATGCAGCCGATGACGTTTTTTCTACCCATGTGCTTTGCTCAAGAGCTCAGTGTTGCAACACATGATAAAAACATATACAGTAATGAAGTTCGAATTTCATATCCCTGGGGCAGACAACAAAAACTCTCCTAGTGTAAGCAGACCTTGAATTTTAGGCACAACTTAATGAAGAAGCATTGGGTGATGTTTAACTGTTATTTTTTTCACACTGAACATCATAGAAAAGTTACATTAGGGTGCTGAGAGGCTGCACTTAGATCAATTTTACAAACTGGTATCATTCATTTTTAATCTCTCTGTCAACAAACTACGAATTTACCCGAAACGAACCACACGCAACTTTACAGCTTTACGACTCTTTCTCTTCGGGTTTTTGAAGAGCACCTGGAAACATATGAAGGGGATTGGTTATTACCGTCATACCACCAAAAATGTCGCTCCTCATGCTTTTTCCTGCCGAAGCATTTTTAAACGTTGGCTCGTTTTACTCTTGCCATGTATTTATATTTTTTGCATGATGATGGTTTAAGCTTAAAACAAACGTTTAACACAAACCAATCACAACAGTTTCTTTATTTTCGATTCGTTGCGTTTTTATATTAGGCTTTACGGTAGAGTCTTGTTCCGGGAAAGAGGGGAGGGTTTATTTGCAAAGATATAAGTTATGAAGGCGTGATAAGAGAAACAGTCTCTGGCAGCTACCGGAGCATCGCTGATGGCAGGTATGCACCCAATCACCTTTATCTTTGCTACTGTAAAAAAAAAAAAGAAAAAAAAGAGAATTTTTTTTAAAACTTCTAAACAGCTCGTTGTTTCCGCTAAAACATCGAAAGAGCGCGGATAGCTTAACTTGTTTTCTTTCGTCAACGTGTGTTCTTCAGTCATCGTTTACATAGAAACACGGCGCGTTTTTAAACAACATAAACAAATGTCATTACAGTAAATGCCTAACATAAAGGGACAACATCGCCGATGAAAAGAAGGAAATGCACGAATGAGTGATTCCATCCCCGTCATATGATGTTCGGAGGTGTGTTGCTGCTCTCTAATCGACACCGACTGTCATTTGCGCTCGCACAATTCCTCGTGAAGATGAACGAAAGCGAGTCTCTTGTCTTATTTCAGACATTGTCATCGAGCGCCAGCCCGTCTCTGTGTGTGTGCCTGTGAACTTCAAGGTGACCCTGAGTGTCGGTGCTGTGGCTGCGGGCATCCTCAAGTACCAGTGGTTCATTTGTGGTGATGATGGCGATACCTACGAGGTATGTGGAAGACACCCGAGTAGCCCGTCACAAGTCTTTCTCTACTCACCCGAACACCATCAGATGCACTGATTTACATTCACAACCTACATTTTAAAAACATCTGAAGTTGGTATTGTTTTAACGTGTTAAAAACGGTCAACAAGCAAAACACACCTGTAGCGATCTGTGCATCTCTGCTGAGTGCTGTGTTGTCCACTCCAAATGATCTTCGTGATACAGTTGCTTACTGTGTAAATATTTTAAGTGTATACAGATACATTTCTCTGCCTCCTGTTGTTTTGGTATTATTTATCCCAAACAGCACCATAAAAGGTGGAAAACACAATGATGTGTGATTGTCCACCTTCTCAGGTCGAATCAGAGCTGTAACAGACAAAGAAAGGTGTGACCTAATTTTGTTGTCTATTAACAGAGGTATTCTCGCTCAAATGATCGCAAATTTGAAAGAGATGTGTAAACATTTCTTTCTTTACTTTAGGGTGAAGGGAAAAAATTAATTACCACTCTTGTTCTTCTGTTGCATCAAAAATTCTGGTGAAATTAAATCAGGGTCTTTGTAAAATCGGTTATAAAATCAATTTCTGTTTGAGTAAGTTGTTTATATTTGAATAAATAAAGCGTTTATTTCAACATCATTTAGGACACCCTAAATTTTTGCTGTGTTCTGTGTCAAAGGCAAAGGACAGGCCAATAATAAACACCACGTCTTCTGTTACGGCTTGAATATGGCAGTTTTGGTGTCTCTTTGACTCAGACCATTGCATCATTCCATGGTTCTGAAAATCCGTCAAATCGTGTCACATCCTGATTGTCAGTGTACCGGGATTCACTTTACATATACGTCAGTCCATGAAAATCCCCATTTTCAATATCTTAATGGATTTTTCTTTCCCCTTTAAAGGTGTACGGTGGAACTCAGGCGGATCTGATCATTGATGCCATTAAAACTCACTGCTATGTGTGCCGGGTGCACGATAACTTTTGTAATTGGGTGTTCAGTGAGTGGGTGAAAGTGAAGGTGCTGGACATCGATGCAGCAGGTAAGAATGGCCACGTTGCATAACTGATCCACAGCATCAATACGAATTTCTGGTGGGTGTTTCATTCATACTCTTGCGGGTTTCATTCTTCCCCCAACAATCTCAGGTTTGCCGCTGCAGTGGCAGGGTGAGCCCCACATTGCTATCAACCCCAAACCTCAGACAGTCCAACTAGGTGAGAAAATTACGCTCCGCTGCGCCGCCTTTGGCAACCCTGCTCCACGCTACCAATGGTACAGAAATGGACACCTGCTGTTAAAAAACACTACTGGCACGCTGCAGGTAAGAAAGGATGTTTGGCAAGTGCTAATATTAGTTGTTTACACTATGTCATGCACCCCTCGCTAACCATGTTATTCATTACGAAAGCTCAGTTAATATGTAGCCTGATGTTTGATGTGCGGTGGAGTATAATCTCACGTGCCTACCAATCAATGAGCGATTGTGCTACTTGTAGATTGAAAATGCTGAGGCCAAGCATAAAGGATCATACTTGTGCTCAGTTTCTAATGTGCTGGAAGAAATATGGAGCGAACCCGCCGAAGTTGACGTTGGTAAGTCACAGACGAAAGTTATCGCCCCCAGAAAAGACAAATTTTCCTGTACTTTTCTCTGAAACTTCCTTAGTTTCCTGTGAAATGTTATCTTAAAAAAAAAAAAAAAAAAGACACTTCACATCTCACTGAACTAAAACTCAGCATTTTGGTTTCCTTTATGCTGAAGGTACTTTCCCCATTTCTACGGAGTAAAAGGGAAGTTTTTAGACTCCACATGTTTTTTTTGTCTGAGCACAACAGCGGCGATGTAAAGTGAAACTACGAGTACCGTTTCTCCCTTTTGCTGTTTGTTGCGGTCTGCAGTGTGCATCACAAATAGATTGCAACACCTTATGCAATCCTTTTTGACCAAATCATTCACTGTTGATGGAAATAAAATGATGACTCAGGTTTTCTGTTGTTTCCATCTAGTTGAAAATGATCAACTTCCTCTCGCAGAAACCAAAGGTACATTTTATTTTTTTTTTAAGACCATTTCATTTTCAACCCATTCTATTGTTATTTCTAGAGTGGAAACAACTGATGCTTTTTTTATTTTTACAATACAGAAACACAAATCTATTTTGCTCATCTGTTTCAGCCGTCGACAAAGTTGCCTTACTTATCGGCAACTTGAATTACGCCTATCATCCTGGCTTGATGGCCCCAGTGATGGATGTACACGAGCTCGCCAACCTCCTGCAGCAGCTGAAATTCCGAGTAGTGTCCTTGCTGGATCTCACCAGGGTGGAGATGCTGGCTGCGCTGGACACCTTTTTTGAACTCCTCAACAGAGGAGTTTATGGTAAGTGCAGCTGTGGACACCTGCCTTTTCGCCGTTGGCTTTTTGGCAAATTCAATTCAACTCAACTCAACGCGACTGTAGTTAAAGAACACTTTAAAAACAACCAGCGCTGTATAAAAAGTGCTGTACATGGAGCAAAATAATTCCTACAACAACAAACAATAAAACAATACATTAATAACGAAGAGATTAGATAGAAAGCACAAAAACAGTCAAACTAAAAATCAAGGGTCATGTTGAGTCAATAGCCAAAGAATAAAAATTAGTTTTAAGACGAGTTTTAAAGTTGGGCAGCGAGGGGGGCTTGCCTAACTTTGAGCGGAAGGTCATTCCAAAGAGAGCGACCGGCAACGGAAAAGGTTCAATCCCCTCTGAGCCTCTGCTTAGGTCTATATAATAAAAAGCTCTACTGAAATCTGAAACTTAACATGTCATGGTTGATACATCTCTTCATATAATTAAGTCTTACTCACAGGAACAAGTACTGGCTATATATGGTGTTGCGTGTCATTCTCATATCAGTTTCACAACATTACATTGTATGTATTTGTAACATACTGCACATAGGCATTTACCTCTGTCATACTTTTCTGAATGCTCTAGTCTCTTCATATTAATCATATGTTCACACGCTGGAATTGAGCAATCGATATTTCATCACCCTTGACAGGCCTTTTCTACTACGCGGGCCATGGGTACGAGTGTGTTGGGAGAAATTACTTGGTGCCTGTGGATGCTCCACAACCTTACCGAACTGAAAACTGTGTGTGTGTGCAACGGATCATGCTGCAAATGCAGGAACGACACACTGCGCTGAATGTTGTCCTACTGGACACCTGCCGCAAATGGTAACATTAAGTAGACGGATTTCTCTTTTTATTTAAGAGAATGGGTGTTGTTGTTGTTGTTTTTTATGTGATCAGCTTGGGGCTAAATTGATGACAAAAAATGTGAAACCATCATATTACTACTAGCTACATATTATGATCATTTCTGGATTACTATATGTATTTTTCAGTTCTCTATGCAGTTTCTCTGAAGTTGTATTTGTTTCAAGAGTTACATGGTGGACTGTAGGATCCCCCACCCACCTGATCTAAATGTTCTTCTTTTCTTGAAGGTACAACCATCAACGCATCCCATCAGTCATCATGTCACAGAGGCCCAAGGGAAATACCGTGTATGGCTATGGAACGTATGTCCATTTCCAAATTGAAATATTTGCTTACACAATCAGCTCATTATGCTGTTATTATTATTGGCCGAAGTGGTTTTGGACATTAAAAGCATTACTGTGTATTTTATGAATCCATCCATCCAGGTGTGAAGATGCTGAGGCTTTTGAAGTCCAGGATGGAGGCAAAAGTACAGGAATCTTTACCAAATACTTGAACAAGCACATCCTTCAGGCAGAAAAAGTCACGCATGTCTTAGAGAGGGTGTCTGAGGGTGAGTATCTCAAAGAAAGCATCGAAAAGGCTTTGAAAAAGAATTTTCACAGCCACAAGTTTGGTTGGTGCGGGGTAAATAGATCTGAAAGAGGACATATATTAGCTTCCTGGAGAGTTGAGAGAGATTTCAGAATCACCGGCGTCTCATTTTTGCACTCTTTCAGGCGAGACCTGTGATTGGAACAGTTTTATCAATGGCTCAGGGAGAGGGTGCTTTAATGTCTGTTTCATCTGCCACTGGTGACATAATTTTTGAAGATACTTTTAACATGCGACCTCATTCTCCGGAAATTCACACTGTCGGCTTGAGAACAGCAAGAAACTTGAGCGCCGCAAAGCACGAGACAGCTGCTCAGCCTTTTGGACCCTCCCATGGCTCCCATTTTGCTCCCGCTCATGAGTGCACTTGCAAATCAGCTGTGACTGGACAGGGCACCCGACTGACAGCACACCGTGCTTAATGTGTGGGTTTTAAAATATTTCACCACAACGTTTTTGAAAATAATTAAAATGAGAACACTAATATTGATTTGATTTGTGCTCATCTTGGCCATGCGACTTATATTAAGCCTTTCATGCACCCTGTAACCTGATAACATGATAAGCTGTCCACTGTAGTACCCGCTGTCCTTGAAAGGGTTAATGAGATGCATGTATAGGTCTATTATTTTATTAAATCTGTGATGGATTTTTTTTTTTTTTAATTCCGAGCAGGCGAAAAAAAAAAGTGGGATTGTAAGTGTGTAAGACTATTGAAGAAAGTTGCATTCCTTTCATAAAATAATTCTTTCCCCTTGGTAAATGTCCTCATTTAGGAGATTCTTCTTTAAATAATTGTATGGAATTACTGCCAGCTTGACTTTTATTATAGTAATTGACCGAGGTGATGCATGAATATGAACTTGACTTGCTCCTCGTCTTGCTTTTATGTGTTCTTTTTTTCCCTTCCTCATTTCTCTCCAGTCAGCTGTTGTATATTTCTCCTTCGGGTTATGTATCCACTCCAGTCACCTCGGCAAAATCCCCTAAGTTCCTCAAAGTCAACCATGTGCATCCCATAAAGATTTTCTTAACCTCACTCCCAGCTATGGGGTCACCAAGGCTGTTGCGTGCTCGACTAGATTACCGGAGCTATTGTGGTTAACGTTTGAGTGTTGTGTTAAATTCCAACTTGCACTATACTGAGCTAATTGACGGAAAGCCAATGCTAACAATTGACTTCGAAGAGGAACACTGCATTGAGCAAGTGAGCCCTACTTGAATGCTGACTTTATTTTGTTAACCCCATTTTTACTCTTCATGGCAACTGAGATTGACCTAGATTCAAATGAGTTTTAGTCAGGCTTCAATGTACTTTAATGCATTGTATACCAATTTTCAGATTCGGTGATGATTTATGAAGAAAATTTGAGTTGAAAAAAAAAATTTGATCACACTGACCCTGTTTTACCTCTCTCTACACTAGATTTAGGCCGAGATCCTCTGGTCACAGGCAAGCAAGCCGTGGAAATCAAGCACACCCTAAAGGAACCTCGGTCGCTTGCCGATCTGGTTCAGACAGCCGGCCACACAAGGGAGCTACATTTCAGAGATTTTTGCTGGCAGCAAGCAAATGGTACGTTCACATAAAAAAAGAAAAAAAAATCAAAATAGTTTTATCATCCCTGATTCAAATTCACCTTGAGTCAGAGTGAAAACTTCGTTGGTCATGCCTCCTACACAAAAGCATGTGATATCCTATTTAAAAACATCCAGAAAGTACTTCCTTATAAAGAAGCAACATTGTGAATTGGTTCCCCTCTGTTTGGTGTTCATGTCTATTATGTGAATGAAAGCGGTGTGTGACATCTCATAAGTTCCTCAAATATACCTGACCTTCAGAGTAATTTTATTATCGGAGGCTTATCATGTGTAAAAGAATCTGCTGACAGCTGGATTTAAGAATGTCTTAATTAGGGGATTTAAATGCTGTTTTATTCAAATTATTTTATGTCCCTTTGTTTTCAGAGCTACCAGGGAAGAATCGGCTAACGTTCCTTTGTGACGTAGAAGTGGAGCTCAGCTTCTCAGCTTTGTTCTCAAATGTTATGGTGGTTTTTGGAGTTATAAAGACCACAGGCCCCAAAACAGACAACTGCACCATCACGCTGAGTAGCATACCTGTAAATATTGTTTCTGCCTAATACTGCACGATGAATCAATCTAACAAACCATCTCAAAAACCACAACGACAAAGTTACTTTCAGATAAAAGCTTACACATGACATACACTGTAAGTGAAACAAAAAATCAAACAGAAAAAAGATTCGACAAAAAAGACCACATTTTTATCACCATGATAAATTCCACGTTGCTCATCATTGGTACTGTCAAGTTTCCATTCGAAAACAGAAAAATGACCACTCGGCCCACGTTTCACAAGTATGAGGAAGTCATACCCATATATAGACATCCAGCTTCCGTCTCACAAAACCAAAGCAGGAAGGAGTTGTTTCACTTTGCAACTCAGTGTGAGAAATGTTTTGATAGGCTATGCTGACATCTAGTGGCTGATCATAATATTTCACAAAATGTGCTGCTGACAAATTACCGTACTTCACCCTATGCTTTCAGCCAATGGAAGAACTTTACTCTGGGCCTGGAAGGTTTGAGGAGATGGATTCGATTCTATTCGACGAAGGTGCTAACCCAGACTGTACTTTGCGAGTGTGTGGACTTCAGAAGCTTAAGGTATGTGTATCCTGATGACTGTGTCGCTGGGTGGGCGGTGTGGAGGGGGGCTCAAAACAGATAATAATTTAGTGTTTGCTTGCTCTTTTGTAAGGAATCACTGGTCATCAGGATGGATTTACACTATACGCACATGGAGAGCAGGCTACGTTTTACAGAGAGCAAACAGGTGGACATCGGAAAACCTTTGGTGGCCTCCTGTAAATTGTACGAGACAATTCAAACCACACCACACAGGAAACCAGACGCTGCTTCCGCCCAGAATATAGGAAGAATTTTACGCCCCAAGCAGACTCAAGCTGGTCCACATCAGCCCTTTACCCGGAAGGCCGAGTGTGGCGCTCAAGTAGCGCCCTTTACGTCTAACGAACCCGAGGAGAATGATGAGAATGAGCTACAAGACTAGTTAGACTTCATATTTAAAACCTTTGTACCGGAATGTATGACTTTATGCGATTCATGATTATGAATGAATGCAGTTTTGTCATAAGTAATTAGCTTCCAGTCATCCAACACTGAAAAACATCAACACAAAGTAGCCTATACTCTTGCTAAATATACTGTAGTTTAATCTGAAAGTTTGTATCGTTCATTAACTAATTGTCGTTGACATTTTTTTTATAAGTGGCAAAATGGCCAGCCACAGATATGTATCTAATAAAGACAATTATTTATCCAACAAATTCTCTGCATTTCATTTTAAACCAAAAGTGTGTTTGGGTTCTCCCTGGAATAGCAGAGCAAGGCTTGTATTGCGCTCAAACAGATAAACAGAGTTTAAATAATGGCACTTGTTGAAATACATGTTTTGTTATTCCGACGATTAGTAAAATGTCACGTCAAATAATTTACTCACATTAGTATAGTTCTTAAGTTTGAACCTTACCGACCTAAATGGTTCGCATAGCACTACGTTACAAGGGATGACGTTAGCGGTTTCTTGCAGTTATATAAAGGGCTGCTGAAACCTCGTCACTCAGTCCCGGTTAGCTCGCCGTGATCGTATAGTGGTTAGTACTCTGCGTTGTGGCCGCAGCAACCCCGGTTCGAATCCGGGTCACGGCAGACCGGCATAGAGTTTTGCATTTGAGTCCTTTAATTATTTTTCTACTTTATTTACTCGAGAGTAATGTTATTGACAAATACCTTACTGCTGACGTGTCCGTTTTGTGTCAAAAAAGGGAAGGGATCAATGGATTTATATAATGCAGTAACGACATCTCTCCTGCAGGGAGCAGTGTAATATAAAAAAATCTAACAAATTTCATGAGTCGACGTGTAAATAAAATATTTTAAAATAAATATCGAACTTCAATTCAAACTGTCATGTTTGAACACAAATCATTAACATTAATCATCCATCTAAATATTAAATTTGATCTTTTATGCAGCTCGGGTTGATAGCACGAAAAAAGAGCACACTTATGAAAATCTTCTCTGGAATGGAAAGTGAGTGTGACAAAATGTGATCATTAAAGTGTGTGAGCGTGTGCGTATCCGTGTGTGTGTGTGGGGGGGGGGGAGGGGGGCTGTCGGGTTGTTTCACTTTGACGTCAGATTTCATTGGGTCCCGCTCGCCAGCTCAAGTGGAAGTGGTGAATGTGAATGGAGAGGTGGTGGGGGGAATCCGACATCAGACACACAGCAGAGTGGACCGTCACTGCGTGTGGATGGATGCAAGCATCCTGGGATTTTCCTACCTTATCACCGCAAGACGTAGTGGAACACAACGCCAACCTGACGGAACCGCGATGGTGCAATGCTTGGCGACTCGACGCACGGCTGCGGGCCGTTTAGGGGACCCGAGAATGTGGTCGTTGTGACGTTGACTTGAACGCCGCTTTTTTTTTGCTGACTTTATTGTTCCCGGCCGAGACGCACAGCGAAGATGTTGAGTCGATTCGTGAGTGGCAGCGTCAGGAATCTCGAACGGGAATACAGCTGCACCGTCCGGCTGCTGGACGACTCGGAATATACGTGCACCATTCAGGTGAGTCACCTGTCGGGCCATTGTGCGATTGTGGTCCAGCTGACAGGCATTCAGGAGAAGGGGCCGCCTTGCATGCGTCCTCTGTTGCTCTCTGGCGAGAAGCTGACCCCAAATGTGCTCTCGGATTGGGTATTTCAGACAACCTAACGCTAATTTAGGGTGATGCATTTACCCCTTGTGACCCACTATTGTCAAAACACATCAGCTACAGGCCAGATTTGCTGTCAGTGCTCTGAGATGGTGTGGGTCTAGGAAAAAAGATCATCTTTGGAGCTTTACAATGGCTTGTCACAGGGACAGTATCCTGCTGGTTTTCTACCCCACTTGATTTAAACAGCCTGAACCTCTTTGACAGATTTTCTGAACCTATCAATTTGCCTTATGGTATATGGTGGTGTAGGCTATTATAATTCCAGTCATGCCAATTACCCTTTTGCACCCACAAAATCCCTTATGGGGTGCATTACTGTAGGATATACGCCGAGGGCCTCCTGTCGATTTATTCCTGACAGTGCAGTAACCTCCGTTTGCACCTTTGACACTTCACTCTGAGGCAGTTTGTCAGTCTAATGATATGCGTTCTGGAATATGTTTTTGTAGGCTTTTATAATGGTACTTACTACCAGCAATCACATTTTGAAGCACAAAATGAGGCTAGTATGCCAGTTGCTGGTTTACCTGGGTGGTACCTTTAAAGCTCGGGAACATGCTTGTAGCTTTGTGATACAGTTCAGCTTTAAATAATTACAATAACTTAATCGTGATTTTGAAACTCTCAATAGGAGGCATTTACCGCATCCCATAAACATCATTGTACTTTTCGATGTGCATTGTCTTATCCCTCAAACGTACTGCTTTTGAAATCTTGCCATTTGATATGACACATATACATTACGTGTACTGTTTGGAGTTGTAAAATGGCTTATACTGTGTACATTGTTGCAGACTGTACCTTGTTATCATGTTGGCTTTGATCACGACAATAACGGCAAAGGCAATTGAGAACAATTTATGAGTGAATTTGTCTGTGTGAGGGAAGAAGTTGAGTGTCGAGTGAAGAAGATATGTAGTATATACGTATAGCTTTTTGGACCAATAAAATGCCCAGTGGGGTACATTAATGTAGAATGTACCCTGAGAGTCTCTTACTGTGGACCTAATTCTGACAGTGCAGTACCCATGTACTTCTGTACACTTGATTCTAGATTTTTTTAAAATTTTTTTTTGGGGGGGGGGCAATTACACTGGAGTCCAATTATTAGCCAAGCAGGATTTTTATCTCTCTGATAACCATAATCATACCATCAACACCTTTAGACCTACTAATGTTTGTCATAGGACTGGTGCTCTTAAGTGTCCGTACGTCTTGGAAATATGCCTGGCTATTCTGGTCATAGAAAAGGTACCATCATGGCACTGTAGTGTAGATTCAATTTCCCCCTGAAAAGAGACGAATATAGACTCCTAATGTATCTCTATTTCTGACTTCATCCAGCTCGGCAGATGGAACGTCCAAGGTATTCTGCCTTTTATCTTGTGGCAATTTATTGACGGATCGCTGCTCGTCTGAAATAATTTATAGTATGTCACCGCTGATTCCTACGTCGGGCAGGATCTTTAATAATACATCCGAGATATCCCTTCCATTAGATAGCACGCTCCTCAGTGTGGTGGACGGTCGACATCAATCCAAGTAAAACACCTGTAAGGAGATAAAAAGGGCTGGTGGGAACTTCTTTTTGTAGCCACTGTCCATCCAACTGCAAGCTTTTGATGACGTTCCACTTTTTTGTTCACGCTCGCCAGCAGGTGAAAAAGAACCTGTCACATCAATTACAAAACCATTTCTTCCTCTTGGTGGATGCTGCAGTTAAGGATTAAAAGAGGTGTAAAAAGACATCCCGGGAGACTTTGCTGACTAGACACATTAAAGCCTTGCCAAGGCAACATTAACCTGCCTTGTAGAACAATGAAACATTCATCAGACCTTCCAGATTCTTCCTCCTTTGATTTCCATTGTCATCAACAGGCTTACACTGCTCTTTTTATCCCATGAGAAGGTGTGAAACCGATACGGTAAGATGGTGACTGGGCACTCCGAGAAGTGCCAGAGACGGACAGCGAGGCCAGCAGGTGCTCTGTTTGCAGCACAGTCGCATGGTCAGGCCGGCTGACGTCAACACCCGTGGAAAAAAAGGAGGGGAGTGGACCGAAAGAGGAGAAAGCTCTTGATGGGGCTCTTGAAGTCTATCTGCAAAAGTGACCAAGGTTTACCATTTTGTTCCCCCCCCCGTTCTGGTCCTGTTTACCAAGCGATGAAGGAAAAATGTCAAGTTCAGTTAATCTTATTTTAAGATATAGGCTAAACATTACATAATGTCACCGGCAATTGTCAGGGAAGTCTTCATGCAAAATTAAGCATGACATGGCTGAAAATTAGCATTAATGCTAAGTCCGGCGCATTTACATTTTTGTGTTGATTATTGTGCATTGTCCTAATGAAAAAAAAATAAAATAAAATATAAATAATACATTCCAGCTCCATAGGAAATTGCTATGCAGTCAATGTGTGGGCAAAATAATGTGTTCATTGTTTTCAATTATTTCAGTCATATGGAATTTGTAGATTTTTTTGGGATTTTTCATGTCTTGGAGACACCGAGGTAACATGGAAAAATAGTGTCATGCCATGAGCTCAGACCAACATCCATGCAGACCGCTTCCCCCCCACCCCCGCTCCATCCCAACAGGCATAATGTACTTTATATTTGGAGATTACTCAATGCTAAAAAAAAAAAAAAAAAAAAAAAATACAATTAACGTGTACATTTACTTGTTGATGTTCACTGCAACCGTTGTGAACCTCTCGACCAAACACATCCCAAATTATCCAATTCGCTTGACTGCCTGTCAACATCATTTAGGAAATCGAGACTGGAGAGTGTAAAATAAAAGGCATTAATTAGGTCACGGTCTCTCTCTTTTTAAATGTTCTCATGTTCACAGGCTGCTGCAATGTGACGATTCTTGTTACAGCATACAGCATCGTATTCGGATGCACGCTCTCACTGATCTGATGCCCCACATTCGGAGTTATTCCTGCCTTTGATCCCCATTCGTCTCCGCCCCGCGAACTGGTAGCACCTTGTAAACATAACCATCTTCCACGGAAAAGAAAAGCGCACGACGCACCAAATGAAGGTGCTCGTTTAAAAAGAAGAAGCTGATATTGTGCATGAATTCAATTCGGTTTCAATGAATGATGGCTCTCTTGTGTGTTTAGACACAAAAATGAGATCTCATCATTCCAGGAGCCCTTCAGTTGCAGCTGTCATCTGGATGCCGGTTGACGAATGAGCCCGAAACATTCTTTTGCCCTTAGGCCTTTAACACTGTGATTTTAACCCAGCGTTGCAGCAGGGAGTCAGGCTGAGACTTTTTTTTTTTTTTGTCAGGCCAGAAATGACATTTAGATGCTCTGTGCAAAATGCAGAGATTTGGGTGTTTCGTTACCTCCAATATTAAAGTGTGGTGCTGTCCGCTTCTTTGTAAGTAAACCCAAGTTTCCCATTCATTGTCCTTTAAAAATGACGTCTCACAGTTGGTATCCAAAGGCAAGGTTCAGTGAGGTTTTACCGATGCTCTTAAACTGCCTGTGCCCGCGCGAGAATGATTCAAACCCTCTTCTGAAATTGGTGTGGGTCGAAGGTTCACAAAGAGAGTGGAAAAGACGGTCGCCACAGACACAGGACAAAAATCTTTGCTTATCCCCGAGTGGATTGGTTGACTTTGGAGAGGCCTTTTTAAGGAAAGACTCGGTTTTATTTAAGCCGTCTCTCTGAGTCTGACTGGCAGTTTTACTCGTTCTCACTTCCTCCCATTTGAGAATTTTTCTCCAGTTATTCAAAATGTAAACGGGTGATGACAAAAGACTATGCAGCTTTTATGCTTAATAAGAAAGCCACAGTTGTCTTTTTTTGGGGGGTTGGGAGCGGCGATTCTGATTAACTGCAGATTTAATGAATGGCTCTCTGCTGTGTTCTGGCCCACTCTAATCAAAAGTTAATTATAGTTTTCGCGCAATGAAGCATGTGATTTTCCCATGCTTTTCCTAATAAGTTTGATTCAAGTCAACCACAACCGTCTGCTCGTTGGCAGTGTTATTTAAACACAAACTGAATATTATTAATATGAAAATGAAATGCTTGAGCTACCTTTTCACTGCTGCAGTGATGGACAATGAACTTACAGCATAAAATCGCCCGAATTTTCCGAAAGTCTGCTCCGCTCTCATCTTGGAGCCTCTTTGGTGAAGTGGTGAAGGATTGGCGCTGGCGTGGAACGAGAAGTGCTTTACTTTGAAGTGCGGTGCCAGCATCTCAACTGTTGCTACGGTGACTCCACAGTTACCCAAACTCAATGTAAGATTGCTCACTGGGCAGGATTGCCTTCCAAGAGTCCTGACAAATAGCTTCTCATTGCTGAGTCTCACAGCAAGTCACAAAATTTTTCCGATTGAAATAAATTACTTTGGGAATAATATGAGTCCAACAGAGTCCAACCTGTCAACCCCATTAAACCTTTATTTAACATATACCAGTAGTGATTGAAATTTAAGATTATTAATTGTCATACAAGTATCAGCAGAATATTGACCTGTAAAAAATGACTTTAAACAATCAACGTAAAGGGGTTTCAAAAATGTACTGTATTTAAACAAATGGATTCAAATGAATATTTCTGCTCAGATATCCATCAGTCCATTTTCTATGCCGCTTATGATCAAGTCATGGTTGTGCTGGGGCCCATCCCACCTGAACTCAAACCAAGTAGGTGAAAAACATTTTTCCCATTTATGTCCGAATGAAAGCATTAGCGATTCATTTGATCAGTGAATATTTGTCCATTATCGATTTATCGTTCTACCTCTGGGAAAAAAAAACATTTTCGTCAACGAAATAAAATGAAAACGAGAGGACAAAACTACATTTTGTTCATTA